TACTCCAAGATCCTTGACAGAGTTTGGATCATCAACAAGGTCTTGACTATTAAGCCTATATTTTATTTTCTGATTTTTTTTTTGCCAATATGTAAGACAGAGCATTTATTTGTTGAGATTTGAGGTTGCCATTTGTTTGACCATTCTGATACATAGTCGAGGTCTTTTTGAAGAGTAGCAGTATTGTTTGTGGTGTTGAACAGCTTTACATCGTCAGCGAAGAGAACAGTTGCTCTTAACATGATCACAGAGGTCATTTATGTAAAGTATGAAAAGAATTGGTCCAAGAAAACTGCCTTGGGGACACCACTGTTGACAGGTACAGAATTTGATAGGACGCTCCCAATTTTGACCATTTGTTGTCTATTTGACAGGAATGCTTCTATCCAGTTATGCAGGTGTCCAGAGATACCATAAGATTTTAGTTTTAGGAGTAGTTTGTTGTGTACCACTGAATCAAAGGCTTTACAGAAGTCTATGTAGATTGCGTCTATTGCTTTGCCCTGATCAAATTGTGTAGTCCATATGTTTTTGCAGTGTGAGAGTTGCAGATTGCAGGATAGTTTTTTCCTGAAACCAAATTGTTTATTAGAGAGTAGGTTGTTTGTCTCTAAGTGGAGGATAATGGATTGGTTAATAATTGATTCCATATTATTTTGCCAGATGATAAAAGTTAAAAAAAAGGGTGCCCAGGATGAGATGGATCTTTGAGAATGTTTTGAACATTCTTAAGGCAGTGGGAACTATAAAGCTCTTCCAAAGAGGGGAGAAGGCAACCAATGATCTTCTGGGCAATGACGTTAACCCTCTGGAGTGCTATCCTATCTGCCACTGTGCAATTGGCAAACCATACAGAGGTGCGGTATGTTAAGATACTCTCTATGGTTCAGCAGTAGAAGGTCACCAGTAGTTTTTCATTCAGTTATTGTTTTCTGAGAAGTCTTGGGTAGTATAATCTCTGCTGGGCCCTTTTGACCAGTGCTGTAATGTGAGCATTCCAAGTCAGGCCCTCTTTTAGGGTAACACCTAGAAAGTTAAAACTGGCCACTTGCTCCACTCGGTCCCCATTGATAAACAAGGGCTGGACCTTTATAGTCCACTATAATCTCCTTGGTCTTATTGGTGTTGAGGACCAAGTTATTGTCTCTACACCATGAAAGCAACCGGTCCATCTCATCTCGATAGGCAGACTCATCCTCCCGGAGATGAATCCCACCACTAATTTGTTTAGCGACTACAAACTTACAACAGTATTAAGTGACTTGTGACCAATCCTCATACATACAGCAGCATCCCGATGATCACATGATCAAAATTTGGGCACTTGGCTACCAGCATGTATTTACAATGGTTGAAGTATCCTGGGATCACATGACTGATTTTTGCGACCTTCCCAGTTGGCTTCCATTGAGCAATGTCAACGGGGGAAGTTGGATGTATTTAATGACCACAAGATCCCTTCACAACTGCAGTGATTTTCCTAATAACTTGGGAAAAAGATCATAAAACAGGTGCAACTCACTTAACAACTGCTTCCCTTAGCAAGCAAAATTCTAGTCACAATTGTAGTGTTTAGAAGAACTGCCTGTAATTTCTGAAGCCTATTTTTACATGTTAGCTCACTTACAACACAAACTAGGGCTTCCGTTTTTAATTTCATTTGACCATTTGCTATTCATCTCTTGGCTTACAAGATGGCTGTGGGCAAGGATGAACTGAGGCTGAACTGCCCAAGAATACAAGAGAATTATTAGGACGGGATGATGCTTGAATAGCAGGCCACTGATACAAGAAACAAGGAAGGAGAAAAGCGATGCTAAAACGACAACAGAGAGAGTGGCTTCAGCTTGTCTGTAGCTGGAGCAGCATGACAGTACGGAGAACATGTAAATAAAAACATCCGAGTGCATCTAAACTGGGAATTGAAAAAGTGTAATGCAACAAAAACATTTCCCAAAGCAGACATTTGGGCTTCATGCCAGCTCTTTAAAAACCACTGTTAATAATAGTATAGTAGCTGTTCTAGTAAGGGAAGCAGCTGTGAAGATAATCAATTCTGCATTACAGGAAACAACAAAGATCAGAATATTAATGTACTCCTGGGAGGGAAGGGACATTCACAGATATTTGAAATGCTGCACAGCCTTCTCTCTTACCTTCGGCAGCTAAATACGTCAGTCAGGGTGTAGGTTTTTACATTTCTGCCGGATTTAAATATGTTGATCGCACGCGCGGCAGTATGGCGCGTGCCTTGCATGGAAAGGAATCCAAGTTTATTCCTTGAAGTCTCCCATTAAAAGGATCTCAGAGGCATCTCCCCTGTCCTCCCTCCTCCCTTTATCTAGCAAATTAGAGAGTAGCTTTGAATCCAGACCCGACTCTTTCAAAAAAGCAGAGGGCTAGAGCCAGAAATGACTTTTCATGGATGAGCGTTTTCTCACTGGTAGAAGCACAAGTACTAACACAAGTAACTCTATTGAATTCTACCGTATAGTGCAATATTAATGCAATATCAAGAGGTTTTCAATTCAATGTATAGAATGTGAAGGATGTGTGTTTGTGTTTATTTTCATAGTCATAATGTACACTGAAGATGGTATTTAATTTCGTTGTACGAGGTGCAAGGACAATAAAGTAAAGTAAAGTAAACTAGCCCTCAGCTTGCGACCACAGTCAGAACCAGAATTTGCATTGCTTAGAAACATAGTTGTTAAGTGAGTCACACCAAAGTTTGTGACTTTTTCACTATGGTTGTTTAGCAAATCACTAGATTGTTAAGTGAACCATGCAGTCATTTAGTAACTTCAGCTTCCCCTATTGTTTTTGCTTGTCAGAATACCGGCAAGCAAAACATTTATAATTCTGATACTTTTCATCCAATATCAGGGTTTGGGGCAACCTATATATATTACTCTCACGTGTGTTTATGAGCACTTTTTGAATCCAGCTTGTAAATATTAAAAAGCACTCAAGATGCATATTTAAACTTCACATTTTACTGTAGAAATATCTGCAGTATTTTATGAGCAAATGTTGCTCACACGAGCCTTGTATGCTACAACTGTTGTAAATGCATGCTGGTTGCCAAATTTTAGTCATGTGATCATGAGGATGCTGTGACAATCCTTAAGGGTGAAGACTGGCCCCAAGTTACCTTTTTCAGTGCCATCTGAATGGTCACTAAACTAATGCCTGTAAATTGAGAACTACTTATAAAAAACACCCAATAACCGGGCTCTTATTAGTGGAAAGTAGCAATTTGGGCTGTTTCTTTCATTTCTATTTTAGTGTTTAAAGGCATGAGATTAGCACCAAATTCTTCAAAGCAGATTTTGGCAAGGGTTGGGAGAGAACAATATCCCGGAATAATCCAGTAATTTGGCTTCTTTCACTAAATGCAGAGAATGAAAGGAAGTGAAACAGTCTTTGTTTTCCCCTCACAAAAAACTATGACAGAGGTTGACTTAAACAAGGGAGTTACTCTTCCCTCTTTATTGCATGCAAGGGTCACACCGATCGTTCTGCTCTTCATGGGATTGAGCCATATAAATTGCATTTGCCTTTCCCAATCTGGTACCTTCCAGCTGTAATGTTTATGACTCTTCTTAAAGCAGGGAAGGATTTCCAAGCCCTTAAGTGTGGAAAGTTTACTTATTTAGCATATGGCAGGGGTCTTCAAACTTGAAAGCTTTAAGACTTGTGGACTTTAACTCCCAGAATTCCTCCTCCAGTCATGTTAGCTCAGGAGTTCTGGGAGTTGAAGTCCACAAGTCTTAAACTGGCCAAGTTTGAAGACCCTTGGCGTATGGCAAATACATGGACTTATAGTGGTTCAAGTGTTAATGTCCAGTCCACCCAGCCATTCCAGGACAGGGTGGTTTATGTTGGAAAAATCAGACATTGAGCCGGTGTAAGCTCTTGATGGACATTCGGAGACAATGTGGTGGATATTTTGTCAAGGAGCACCACAATCACACTGAGGGTAGAGACAAGACCCCACTTGAACAAGGAGTCCTGGCAGACACCATGTTGGGTACGGATCCTGTTCAGAGTTGACCAATGCTGGTGAGGAAGGTCAAAACCTGGCACCTTTTGTGTAGGGTCATCTATGTAACTGCCTGGATCTGGGCGTTCAGCAGCCCAATTGGCTTTCTGCACTATGTGTTGATGTCAAAGTTGTTAGACAGCTGTTGAGGGAGTGCCAGAGAGGAAAGTATTTGGTAGGGGAACACAAAGTTAAGAGAAAGAGAAAAGAGATTGGAAAAGTCTCATATAGAAATAACTGAGGATCTTGATTTTTGTACACCTCTATATGTAAAAAGGTTAATCTACGTCTCCTGGATTAATATTACACCGCCCAGAGATGGGCAGCCATATATGTGTGATCTATCAATCAATCAAATTTGAATCAGAACTTAGTTATCTACCTAATGTCGCACTTTTCAAATTTCATGGCTCAAAAGCAATTTATATCTTCTGTAACATTGTAAAGGGTCATAAAATACTGCAGATATTTCAACAGTAAAACGTGAAGTTTAAATATGCACCTTGAGTGCTTTTTAATATTTACAAGCTGAATCTGGAAAGAGGTTAGAATTACAGATAAACACACGTGAGACTAATATGTAGGTTGCTGATTTAGGATGAAAAGTATCAGAACTATAAATATTTTGATATTGCAAATCACTTTTGTATGGCAAGAACTTTCAACTTGAGGTCTTCCACACACCTATATATAAAAATATATTTAAAAATATCAGATGCCGCTACATTTTTAACCAAGACATTTGGAAGCTGGAATGACCTTCATGTCAAAAAGTGAATAATGCTTTATTAAATGAGTTAATATTCACAATGACACAGACAAAGCCTGGCCGATAAAATCTCTTTTATGGCCATGACCTTTTGGATATATCTTTTCTGAAAGTAGAGAAAATGGCTGCTGTGGTCAATTCACTGGATGAAGACCACTGTTTTCCTGCCAGTCACCCACTTCTTACCTGTAATAACAATCTCTCATCTCCTATGACGGCAGCTTGATTCCAATTAATCACCTCGGAGAATGGAAGTTCCCATCCATTGCTGAGCATCACAGGAATACAGGCAGCCTGCATAAAACAATATAAGGGGTGGACAGTTTCAAGGTTCAATTGCAGGAATTGGGTATGTCTTGTTCAATGGAAAGAAGAACTACGGGTGACAGGATAGCAATAGCACTTAGACTTATATACTGCTTCAGCGTTTTACAGCCTTTTCTAAGCGGTTTACAGAGTCAGCATATTGCCCCCAGCAATCTGGGTCCTAATAAAGGAGAATATTTGTAGCTCAGGGTTGAAATGTGACGCTCTCTGAACTTGCTTGTTTTCTTGCAGACGTTTCATTACCCTAACGAGGTAACGTCATCTGTGCTAGCAAAGAGTATGGACAGTCTTAGGGATTCTTTGGTTGGGCTATTTACTGATGGCTCTTTGGTGGTTTCTTGATTGGGATATTGCTGTTGGGATATTGCAACTTGACTGTTGGTCTGAAGTTGTCCTTGGAGTTAATCTATGCTGATCTGAGTGCTGATTCCTGATAGAGATGCTGGAGTCTTTTTCTCTTTTGGGCTGGTTGATTGTCTCTTTTGCATAGTCCATAGATGTTGTTAATGTCTATGTGTCTATTGATGGCTGATTTGTCAGGATGCCAGGCTTCTAGAAATTCCCTGGCATTTTTGGATTTGGCCTGGTCTAGGATGGTCACATTCTCTCAGTTGAAACTATGGTTAAACCTTGAATGATAACCCATGGATAAAATGATCAAGGAAAGAAAAAAAAAACTAGACAATTTGGCCAGCATAACCAATGACAGAAGATGTTGCAGGGTTGTATCCAGAGGTGGTATTTTGCAGGTTCTGACCAGTTCTGGAGAACTGGTAGCGGAAATTTTGAGTACTTTGCAGAACCAGCAAATACCACCTCTGACTGGGCTCACCCCTATTTATTCCCGAGTCCCAGCTGATTGGCTGGGTCTTCTTTTGTTGCCCTGCCCAGGAGAATGGAGCTGGAAAGCAGCAGCTTAGCGGGGTAGAGAAGGAATGGGATTTTGCAGTATCCTTCTCCTGGAGTGGGGTGGGAATGGGGATTTTACAGCATCCTTCCTCTGCCATAACCACCAAGCCACGCCTATAGAACCAGTAGTAAAAAAAATTGAATCCCACCACTGGTTGTATCCCCTTTGTAGTTAGGGCTGAAAGCTAATGCTAGGGATAGATTCATTAAGGTTCTCTAATGGAAGATAATTTGACAGCTTTTCATTCAAACCTATGTGTGGACCACAGAAAATTACATGGGAAAACATAATTGGCAATGAAAATAAAAGTAGTGTTAAGATTAGGCTTATGTTTTCTTGGAATCAGAGACAAGAATTGATATTGGAGATAAGAGTCTTAGAGATTCTCTAAGGAAAGACATTGTGACTGCTTTTGTTCTGATTTCTTTGTGAACTACAGGAAAATGCATAGGAAAATTCCGTTGCCAATGAAAATGAAAGAGTTAGGAATAGTGTTAGGGTTAGGTCTCCTTTGACTCGGGGCCAAAAACTGATTTTGGGGATAGTTTCTCAGTGATTCTCTAAGGATAATGACATCTTTTCTTTCAGACTTCTGTAAGGATAGCAAAAGTAATAGTTTTCCATTCAGACTTCTTTATGGACCATGTACAATCCTTGGGAAAATCCTATTGCCAAAGAAAATTAAACCAGGCTTAGGCATCCTAGGAGTCAGGGCTGAAAACAGATGTTAAGGGATAGTGGAAAAAAGAAGTGAAACGCATGTTGTGTGAATTGGGTAATTCTGCTTTCTATATTTAACTGTGCAATGTTCAGTATCTTTTTTGTAAAATCCTGGTGGATCACTGCATTGTCAAGCATAGAAGTTATAGCAGCAAGATAATTCTCCCAAACATGTCTCAGATGGAGTGGATAAAACAATAAAAAATCATTTTATTTTCGTCATTTTAATTGTCCTGGAGCTTCGTTTCCCTGAGAATGTCTAACAAACAGAAATTACTGCTTAAGAGTTATTTAGCATGCAATAAGGAAATCTAGGCTAATTTTATAAACCTGTAATTCCATATAAACCTCAAAGCCCCCATGGACTGGACTGCTAAAACTTGAAACATGTTTTCCAATTCCACTTCAGTGGAAGTGTAAAAATTATAGTGTTAAGTCTTCAAATGAGTACATCTCAGTTAAAAAAATAAAACAAAACATCCAAATCTCTTGGTGGAATTTCGTATCTTCCGAATATGCGATAGGTCAATATTATTTTCTGGCTCTGAGAGCCAATATACGGTAAGTGATGTATATTTTCAACAAAAAAATCACCATCTTTGCTCTGAAGTAACTCTATTTTTCCAGTGGTCTAAGGCAATTTATATCTTAGGGAAACTTGGCTCTTTTATCACTTATGGACTTCAACTCCCAGAATTCTTGAGAATTCCTGAGGCCTACTGGTTTTTCACTTGTGGAGGAAATCAATTTTTGACTTGAATGGGACTATTTAATATACAAATGTAGGACATATTTCCCCCACAACTGAAAAACCAGTAGGCCAGGGATGTGGAACCTTTTATGGCTCACTCAGGAATTCTGGGAGTTGAAGTCCATAAGTGATGAAAGAGCCAAGTTTCCCTATCCCTGGTCTAGGACAATCCACCTTTACGGAAATATAACCATATCTCTTGATAGTGAGAAAGCCCTGTGTGTCCCTGCTAATCTCTCCTGAAGAAGAATGGATGAAGAAAAACAGAGTTGGAAAGGACTTTAAAGGTCATCTAGTCCAGGGTGCCCAACCTTTTTGGCACCATTGACTGGTTTCATGGAAGACAATTCTTCCAAAGACTTGTGGGGGGGTGGGGGAGGTTTTGGGATACTTCAAGCACATTACATTTATTCTGAACTTTATTTCTATTATTATTACATTGTAATACAGGATGAAATAATTATACAACCCACCATAAATGCAGAATCAGTGGGAGCCCTGCCCTGAGCTTGGCTCCCCCCGCCCCCTGCAACGATTGAATATATTTATCATAACTATTTCATTGATTGGTAATGAGAAGCAAATGAATGAAAGTTGGAGGTTTTTGCTGGTTGAGCCAAAGAACTTCAGTGAGGCTTGTAAAGGGGGAAAACAGAAAGAAAGAAAGAAAGAAAGAAAGAAAGAAAGAAAGAAAGAAAGAAAGGAAGGAAGGAAGGAAGGAAGGAAGGAAGGAAGGAAGGAAGGAAGGAAGGAAGGAAGGAAGGAAAGATAGTTCTATGTTGAACATATGCACAGCCAAGTTTTATTGGACCCTTAGTTGTGTGTCTTTATTTTCCCCCTTTATAAGCCTTTGCAAAGTTCTTCAGATCAACCAGCAGAAAGCTCCAACTTTCAGGAGGGTGTGCTTTTAATCACCAATCAGTGAAATAATTATGGTAAATATACTCAATTACATGCATGGTGTCCTCCTCCAACCCCTGCTCCTTCTCCTCACCTGAGCCCTTTCAATTCCCTGATGCTGCTCCAGCAGGCTAAACACACTGGTGTGTGTGCGTGTGTGAAGGAAGCACACTCTCTTGGAGGGCAAATCCACACAACTTCCCCTCTCCATGTGCATCCACTTATCCTCTCCATATATATGTGTGCGAGCATGTTTGCATCATGTATGGAGGAGAGAGGGAGAGAGAGGGAGGGAGAGAGAAAAGGAGGAGGAGGAGGAGGTTCCATTCGTCTCTGGCATTTGGCTTGAGGAAACAACAGTATCTCACTCATGGTGAATTGTCCTAGAGGGCAAGCTGCCTCACAGAGAGTCGCCTAAGGCAAATTGGCTGGGGTGAGCATGCGGCAGTGAGATGGCGGCTGTGAATTGCCCCATTCTGAGCTGAGGCAGTGATGCTAGCGTTGGGAGGTGGCTGCAAAAACAGAGGAAGCTTTATTTGCTCACCTGCCACTCACCTCCAGATGTCCCAGTTCCCAGTAGGCCATGGACCGGTACCAGTCCATATCTTGGGGGTTGGAGGTTCCTATTCTAATTAAACCCCTTTGCTCAAGCAAGACATCCTATACTGGGGTGTCAAACTCGATTTCATTGAGGGCCGCATCAGGATTGTGTTTGACCTTGGGGGACCGGGCTGGGCATGACCAGCTTGATGTCCCTCGTGTTGGGGGCACCTGTGGTGGCTGGAGCACTCTGTCAGTGAAAATGGACAGCCACAACCCTCTGCAGCAAAAATGGAGCTAGGGAGAGTCGCGTGCGGCCCTTGCGAGTTCCGTTTTTTCTGGCAGAGACACCATGGGCCAGTCCTTCATTATTTCTAGGGAGGCCCTCTGGGCCAGATCTAAGCACCCTGCAGGCCAGATCTGGGCCGTGGGCCTTGAGTTTGACACCCATGCCATATACTATTCCGGACAAATAACTAACCAATCTCTTCTTTAAAATCTCCAGTGTTGGAACACCCACAATTTCTGAAAGCAAGTAAATCCACTGAAATGTAATTTCTGCTTTGCTCTTCCTTTCCCTGACACAATATTACCTAAGACAGAATTTTACAAGAGAAAAAAAAAGCTTAAATAGAGCTAAAATGTCCATAGTTTTTACCTGCAGGGCCTCCAAGAACCTGAAGGACCCAAGCCTCCGGCCCCGGGGGACCAGACAGAAAGTGGCATTGTGCAGCATTTCACGATAATCATACCTAAGGGGAAAAGAGAATAAAATAATTAATTAATAATGGATCCCAAGATAATTGTGCATGAAAATATAAACATCTGGCAGTGGACATCTGTTGTTAGAATAATTTCTGGAAAATTTCACATTTGTAAAGTTGAAGTAACAGTAAGAAGAAAAAAGAGTGAGGCAAAATGTATGAATTAATTTTTTGAGTCCATGTGTTCAAGCAGAGTATATGGTAGGAGCACCTTAAAATTGATTCTTATTTTAAAAACTAAGGAAGGAAGGAAATTCATCCATGACCTATAGAATAAAAAGATCCCAAAAAAAATTATTCAAAATGTATATTGGGATGATGATGATGAGCCAGCATGGCTACATGTCTAAAAGTGGCCAAAGTTAAGAAACTCCTGTCTAGATATAGCTTAGTCCGGTGATCCTATGAACAACACAGGCTAATTTTCAGATGCAAACAAGTATGAATATGCTACCATATGCTGTTTATCATCACTTTGACTGCCATTGCTTACATTCTTACTAGGGATTTTCTGAGTCTGCATTTGAAAAAACAGTTGGGAATAGAAGAAGCAACTCACTGGCACACCAAATCAGTGTCAGGATAATTTTATTTCAAAATCTATTTTTCATTGGGAAGATCAGCAATTACAGTTCTGGATTACACAATTTTCTATTGGACTATACAAGAGAGTTCTGTTTGGTTTTAAATCAGTAGTTTGGTGAACTTCTCCATTATTACTTTTAAACTATGAATATTGGTTTAGTTTGTCATTTTAACCCTGCCAATTGTGATTAATTCAATAAATTGAACGGAACCACACAAAATCTTGATGTGATCAATGAGAAATACATGATTTTATATTTTGTAGGAATAGCAGCACTGTTGTTGGAAAGATTGTAGTTTGAATACAGGCTTGGCCATGGTTAAAGCAGTCTATCAAAATCAATGGACAAATTTAGTCCATTGATTTTGATCGCATACTAGTCTATCCTGCACCTAATTTTGTCTATCTAAGGACAAAGAAGGGATAGAATGAATAGAATAGAATTCTTTATTGGCCAAGTGTGGTTGGACACACAAGAAATTTGCCTTGGTGTAAATACTCTCTGTATACATAAAAGAAAAGATGCATTCGTCAAGAATCACAAGGTACAACACTGAATAATAATCATAGGATAGCAATCAAATACTAGGAAGCAGTCAATACAAACCGTAAGTATACAAGCGACAAAGTTACAGTCATACAGTCAGAAGTGGGAGGGGATGGGTGATAAGGAGTGATGACAAGATTAATAATAATAGTAGTGCAGAATTTGTATCAATTGAACAGCGTTGAGGGAATTCTTTGTTTATTTGTAATTATTTATTTATTATTTGAATGAATCATATTGTGCATATGGGTCAGCAAGCATGAATTCAGTGAGAAAGAGGGACAATTCTTAATGTTTATTTGCCTTATAACATAACAGTAGAGACTAAAGAAAAATAAAAATTGGCAACAACATAAAGTATTATTCCTCCAGGGTTTCTCAAAGTTAATGCATTCACGAACACCCGACTTTCTTTTAAATTTCAGCGAACTTTTGCAAAAGCTTTTTCCCCCCCCCCCCCCCCCCCCCAAAAAAAACCTCCACATTAAATCCCTAAAAGTTTCAATTCAGATTGTAGCTAATGGTACTTTTGGCAAACCTGTAATGATTTGAAAACGTCCAACTGCTAAACTGATGTCAAGAAAGCCAAGATTAAATATCTCTTCCACTCTAACTTGAACACCGATACATTTATTTCTCCAGAGACTTTTGTAAACTGCAAATAGGTGCTATTTTGACAGTTAAAACCATGCAGCAAAATTTACCCAACCCTAATAATCTCATTTAATCATAGCCTAGAGGCACCATTAAAAAAAAAACATTCTTCTTTTTGTATTGGGCAGAGGAAAAGAATAGAATATACAGAAATGGAAATTCAGCTCTATTTTTATATTTATTCTCCTAAAAGATACAAAGACAGATGTGAGCTAATTTTGATAGGACTTATCACTAGGAAGTCAGACTGGTTTAAACAAGGGTGTATAACTTGCATGAAAAAGGGTCCTTGAAATAAGTTAAGACGAACTTCATGAAACCCAATTAAACATTCCACCTTTCTGTTATTTAAAACTACAAAACATCTAAAAGAAAGGGGGGGGGGGGAATCTTCTCACTATCTTTTCCTCTACTATCTTTAATGTCAGTCTTTAATTTCTCATTTATGTCTGCACAAAACAAAATTTCATTCCAAAGTTGATCAGCCAATTGTTCAAGTTTCCCCAATCACATCTTTAGTGTAGCATGAAAGAACTGACAAATATAGCATCTATTTTGAGACTGACTGTAAAATAACCGGAGAAAGGAAAAGACTTTATCTGCTCCTATTGCCTTTAGGATTTCAGTATAGAACAGTCAAAATGCTACCATTGAATTGTAATTTAAACATCTGTATGCTGCTTTCTGTTGTTCAGAACAAATCTTGATTTTTTTTTAACATGGCGAAACAGGGATAAAGGATGAAGCATACAGGGAAGAACAGAAAACTGGATCTAATTTATAATCTGAATGACATTTAGTTTATATCAGATTTAGTGCTGGCTCACTCCTTTGTTCTGGATCTCATTTCCAGAGTCCTTGGAAAGCCTCTTAAAAGGCCATCTTTTATTGGCCACCAAACCCTACATCATTCTTGCACAGTTGCCATGCTAATCTGCTCTATATTGTTCCAATTTTAGCATACAGGCTGTCCAAGCAAGCATAACCTGAGTTTTCCTGTTTTAGCATCAGCCTGATGTGTAGATGCTCTCAATGCTTCAGTAAAAGCATTAAGCTTGGCTGCCCATTTCCACACCTCATTGCAGCCTGCAGTACAAATACAAGGTAATGTGACTTTGAACTAAGCATGGCTCCTGATGACTACATTGATCAAACACTGCAGTTTCCTTGGGAGCAGCCACTGACTTCTTCTAGCATGTGTTCCCAACTTGCCATTTTTTATCCTTCAGCCCTGGGATTTTTATCCAGTTACTAACTAGGCGCACAAAGCCCCCCGTTTTTAAACAAGAATAAAAAAGAAACACAATTGTACACCTAAAGCAGTGAAAATTGTTTGCAATCATTCTGAAGTGTTGTAGACTGTCTACTGAAGCTAAAATATGTCATTTTATTGGGCTTCCCAACAAAAGCTCTGCAGTAAAAATAAAATAAAATGAAAGTGACCTGCATTCTGCATTGTGGGAAGTACAGAATTCTGCAACCTGTTAGGTTGTGCAAAGCAGTGATCACCAACCAGGGGGCCGGGGACCACTAGTGGTCCACAAGAAAATTTTGGTGGTCCGCAGAGAAATGTCACCCCCAAAGTAATTAATCCAGGCCGTGTGGGAACACAAGGCTGTGCTACCCACATGGCCCACAGGAACACAAGACTTGTGTCGCTTGCATTGTGAATACGAGGTAGTGAGAGGAAGGGGGAAAGGATGGAGGGGGGGAACTTGCCCCACTCGCCCCACGCACCTGGCCTGGCCACTGGACTGCTTCTTTCTGCTTCTTTCTTCTGCTTTTGGCTGCACGCAAGGAAAGCAGCTAAAGTCTTTCTTTCTCTCCACCAGAAATGAGTCTTTGGGACCCTGCAAGGCATCCTGCTTCAAGAGGCTGCGCCATTCTGGCAGAGTTTGGGGGAGAGAAAGAAAGACTTCTGCTGCTTCTGCTGCTTTCCTTGCATGAAGCCAAACGTCTCTCTCTCTTCCCGCTGAGAATGGAGCTGTGATCCCAAATAAAGAATGATCTATCAGTAGGAAAACAGGGCGGGGAATTTTCCTGCAGACTTTTTTTCCCGCAGCCACCGTTAGTCAAAATTCATATTAGTGGTCCCCAGGATTAAAATTATGAGTTTGATGGTCCCTGAGGTCCAAAAGGCTGGCGACCCCTGGTGTAAAGGGATAGAAGTGTATTTTCTTTTATTCTTTTTTCAAGAGGCAAATGGACTTTCTGGTGATGAATTTACAGGAGGAAAAGGAGGAGGAGGAGGAGAAGTAGTTTGCTGCTTCTCAATCACCTTTTTCCTTATACATCAAATATCTTCTTTTTCAAGATACACTGCATGGAGAAAAGTCCCAAAGGTGCTTTTTTCAAGAGACAAGTAGACTTTCTGGCTTTTCTTTAAATATGTTTTTGCTTCTCATCCAAGAAGCTTCTTGGATGAAAAGCGAAACATCTTCAAAGAAAAACCAGAAAGTCCAGTTGCCTCTTGAAAAAAGCTCTTTTGGGACAACCATGGCCTGGATGAGTGAGAATCTCCACAGGCATTTTGCATGAAGAAAAGTTTTCTGTGCATCCAAATATATGTATTTCTCACTAGGATCTATATGCACTAGTCCCATGTAAAACACACTTAAAAGTTTAGAAAAGCTACAGATTTTAGAAAGGGACATTTCTAGCAGCCATGTAAGACCTTCCAGACACAAAAGAAAAAAAAGAAAAAAATACTGTTATTTAGCACTTGCATTATCTCAACTGGAAACTGATAATTTTAGAACTCTATCTAGGGTTAATTTAAAACTGGCAATCTTTGAAATGTTCAAAGAACAATGCGATAGCAATCTCTAGTCTGAAGACTCATACAATTGGGGGAAGAATGTAGCTCAATGAAGAAACATTACCAGCTCGGGCCTAGGCACAAACCCCCTAAGCTCAGATAATACGGAATATTTCCACGAGAAGAAAAAAAAATATCCCTGTCTTTTTAACAGGTTTTTTATTCTCTCATTTCCTGGTAAGTTTTGAATGCTGCTGAAGAAAAGGAGAGAGTGTTTTCCAAACCTATAAAATGTATATTAGTCAGAGATTCTTCAAGGCCCTAAAATGCTGGTCTCCAAGGAAGGAAGAAGAATTTTTACCTCCGCCCCATTTCAGAACAGTACAAAGCATTGAGTTTTGTGGAAATAGATGAATAGTCTCACATCCTTGTTATCCAAAGTGATTGATAGACACTTTTCAGTGTTGGACCGACCCTTCTTACATATAATTTTTTTGTTTTACTACTTTGATCCTTTAGGAGTCAGGAGCACATGCTTAGGAAGAGGAGGATACTTGAAAATCCATTGAATTAAAGATCAAAGGGATCTAGTCTTGCTACCTACACGACTCTTCATTTTCTTTTTTGCTAAGGATACCACTGGTTGCAGTCTACTCAGTATTTTTCAGTAGTGAAATAATGGAATCTAAGTATCAGCTTGGAAAAGATGATCCTTCCTTCCTTCCTCCTTCCTTCCTTCCTTCCCTCCCTCCCTCCCGTTCTTTCCTATATCCCAAACTGGGTTTTGCACTATTTTCTGGTCCCTTCTCTCACACCCCAGCTCTTGGTTAAAGGCCTCCGGATCAGATTTGCAAAGCACACTCCAAAACATTCTTCTTAGCTCTTGTGATCTAATCTCACGCTAGGAATCCTTCATCTGAAAACGTAGTGCACTGATTAATTATGAACTAGTAATTAAATTAGAAATTCCAAGAGAGAATTCATCTGATACATGAGGTAACGTTCTCACACAGTCAGCTGAAAACTGTATGATAGCAGGTTTGACTGTTACCAAAATAAGACACAGATGGAAATTGAAGCTCTTGGAGCAAAAGAGAATCGGGCAGTCTTTACATGCTGTGAGAAAGAAAATAGCGCAGAAAAAAAATTAATTCTGTTTCCACCCAAAGAGTAATCACTAGAATTCTTTTGTTACAGCTTCCCAATTTGTTTTTTTCTGAAATATTTCAGAAGTTCTCAAATTCTTGTAAGATCGCAGACCAAAATTTGCCTGTAGATTACAGATCAAAATTTGCCTGATGCTGTAGACATTCATTTGTTATATTAAAAATTGAACTATCATTCTTAAAAACATGTCTACAAGAAGAACCAGCTTTGGAATATGGCATTATTTATTACAGGTAGGCTTCGACCTAACCACAACTGAGCCCAAAATGTCTGCTTTAAAGTAGAATAGAATAATAGAATTGGAAGGGACCTTGGAGGTCTTCTAGTCCAACCCCCTGCTTAGGTAGGAAACCCTACACCACTTCAGACAAATGGTTATCCAACATCTTTTTAAAAACTTGTTGGAGCATAAGGCAGCTTTAAATGAGTTTTGTCCAATTTTATGACCTTTCTTGCCCCAATTAATTGAATCATCACAGTTCTTAAGTTGGTAACATATGTGTTAAGTGATTCTGACATTCCCACTGACTTTGTTTGTCAGAAGGTTGCAAAAGGTAATCATGTGACCCTTGGGATACTGCAACCGTCATAAATATGAGTCAGTTGCCAAGCATCAGAATTTTGGTCATGTGACTGTAGGGATGCTGCAATGGCCATGTGAAAAATGATCATGTTGCTTTTTTCAGTGCTGTTGTAAAACTTTGAATGGTCATTAAATGAACTGTAGTAAGTTGAGGACTATCTATAGGTTTTAAAATTTAGACTAAATGTCTAAGGAGATTCTCAGTCTTCCAGGTCATGGTTGTCCCATTCAGTTCCCATCCAAGAAGCTTTTCCAGTTTTGAAACTAAGAAAACCCAGTTGCCTTCTGGGATAAAAGAACCTTTGGGATAAAATCTAGGCTCTTGTTACCTAGAAGAATCCAGCCCCAAATATCCACATGAGAATAACAAATGAATTCAGAATTGTAATTTATGAAGGAGTTCTACTTAAGGAAACACAATATGCTTCCCCCTCATGGATCTGCTTAACGTTTGAATCTGCTGAAATTAATGGGAATGATCTTTCACCAAGGTCCCTTTTGTGAAAATCTTAGTACACACATCTCATCAGATGTATGCGCGCGCGCACACACACACACACACACACACACCCCACCTGATGAGATAACAAATATTTAGGACATTCCATTTGACAAAAACATTTCTCCTGCTGTAACTAACATTTGACTAACATTTCAAATACTCCCAACCTATATTAGTTCTTTCATATCAGGTGGAAGATCTAAACATTAGTGAGAAATTTTTGAAATATCCCTATTACCTGTTTTTTTCATCATGCAAGCTGTTCTTTTAGAGCTGAACAGAAGAAGAAACTTATACGAGAATCTCAAAACTCATATATTGTGTAACTTAGGGGACAAAAAAAAGGTGAAATGTATTCCCAAATAATCTATATCACTTGCTCACAAAGAATTCTTCCTGCAAGATAACATTTTCTTCAGGCTTAACACTGATTTATTGGATAGTCATGTAGGTTTTGTGTTTTACTTATAATTAAACCTTAAATCTGCGGAATTGTTAAGGTACAGAAGTATCTCAGTTATTCTGCTGTGTGTTCAAGGTAACTCATCCGTAATTCTTTTCTCACAGCTGTAGACAAACTGTTGGAGTACCATAATTTGCATATTAATAATAATAATAATAATTTGCATTAATCCATTATGAAATGCATTTAGGTAGCATAACACCACTTTCTGTTTCTGGGGTAGTGGAATTCTAAAATACCAAAAATAGTTATATCTGTAGAAAGAATAAAAAGCTATATAACATATTATTATGAAAACTTCCTTCACTGGATGGAAGAGAAAACTTGTTTCAAAATTAATCGTGATCAATTCTTTAAGCCTTCTACTGCAGCAACAGTAAGCAGAGGATTACCAGATACTCCCTTTGTCCCTGACAATTCTCTGTCTACCTGACATTAATTTAAATTTTAAAATAACCATGGAAAGTTGGCACATTGCAACGAGCAATTGTAAGCTAACTTGTAGCATTA